GCACAGTGTAGGAGTAGAGCCAGGCAGGTTCTGGACACTTTTACAAGCCACCTCCTAAGAAACCAGCCAATAGGTACATGGGTTATCTACTGCAAAGGCAGTTGGGGCCTTAGAGAAGAGTTTTAGGATTGGGGAATGTCAAATCAGTGGCCCAGGCTCTGAATTATACAGTATTGGTCTCACAGAGTATTTTTTGGGTAGTCCACTGTGGGACTGTCACAAGTAGCTGAAATTCATAGTTGATTTGGCAGAACAAAGCTCTATCAATGTCCCTAAGGCATGAGTACATCTTCAGAAAGCTGCAAAGCTCTTCCATGGTGGTTGGTTTCAGCCTTGAAACACTTCACAAGGTCAAGTGGCGTTTCAGGAGAACTCTGTTGCAGCCTCTCTGCAAATTGTGCAGTTTTCAAGACAAGCATTTTCCTGCAGCAAAGCAGCAAAAATAGTAAATTACCAGAATAACTTCTCAAAGATGGACATTTGAACATTCAGTTAATCGATACACATCAGAACTACTCAGGGGAGAAGGAGGACTTTGGTTTCATGGTCTTTCTAATAAGCCAGTTTTGAAAATCTGGTACTTCAAATATGAAGACAGTCTTCCATCATCTTCAGAAATTTGTAACAGTAGTTGTTACCCTCAACCTTATTTGCTAAATGTTTTTGGTTTGGACTGCTGACTTCAGCTTTCATCAATTGGGTCTTGCAACATGTTTGTTTTTAAGAGGAGCTGCCATAAACCCTAGAGAGCAGCACTGGGGAATGAGATTTCTGTTCCCTAGACCAAGCTCATGCTGGGAGCTGGGTACAGTCTGCGAGAGCCAGCGAGCCTCTTTGAGAAGGTGCAGTAGGAGAACAGCAATGCTTGGCACAATTACCTTTGCTGTTAATTTGAAATAGTCTATCATCTGAAGCACGGCTTTTAAACCTGTTAACAAATAATTAAGTGCAACACAGCGGTTTGGCCTGGGAAGGATAGCTTCTTAAGCCTCAGGCCGTATGAATGGCTGTATGTTCTGAACTTCAAAGAGGAGCAATAAATCTATTTATAAATCCAGACACCTCTACAGGAGATCCGTTCCTATGCTTTCGCTTATGTAATCCCACAAAACATCACTCATAGGTAATTCAACACAATAAACTTCAGAAACAATTCAGTGTCGGTGTTGCTCTGGGCTGTTAAGCAGCCTGGTGTAACACAGATTGGCAGCGCTGACCTTCCAGCCAGCAAACGAGCAGCGGCAGGAGGCAGCAGCCCTGAGCTGTCGGTCCTGCCTTCGGAGACACCCCTGCGGTGGGCTGTCAGCTGTGATGGGTGCGTGCTCAGGCACTGCAGTACACAGCTGACCTGACTGTTGAGAGAAAGCCCTGGTTACGTGCACTGACCCCTCCAGAGATCAGCCACATGCAACTGCCAAGCTCAGCGCTCGTCAGGGCATCTCTAGAAAACCCACCTCGTGCTCCATTGGTGTCTCACAGACGTTGGTACTGCTGGAAGGCCCCACGGAAGGGGTAGGAAAGAAAGCCTGATCGGGCTATTTTTGAAAGATTTGATGTGGGAATCACCAGGCAAAATTGCTGGCCTTTTCTGTGGATGAGATCAGACTTTGTGGTCCCCTGGAGAACTCACACCTCTACTCTGGATATTGCCCACTTGCTGACAAGGGATTAGGAGCAACACAGCTGAACATGTCCAGCTACTTAGCCATTGGATTTAAACTGACCATCAAGGAATCATGGCACCTTGATGAACCGAGGGCACTGGCTGGTGTGCATCCCTGCCCTGTGGCAAACGTCAACTCAGATCTCACTGAAGGGCTTTGCCCAAGTTGCACCGCCTTGTCTTTGTCACAAGCAAAGAGCAGATGGACAGTTGTCACAGCTCAGCTGATGTACATTGGGTTCTTTTGTGGACCTGGGAGTTGCAGTCTACCCTAAGGGGCTTCAGTAGTGAACAGGCACCTGCAGCTTACAGCAAAACAGAGAAGCAGGGCTGGAGGGACCACAGGCAACTGCGAGTGCCTGTGCTGGGGGAGGGTCAGGTGCCCCAGGTCTTGTCTGAGGGGTGGTCATCCAGCCTTTCCTTAAAGACTGCCAGTCACGGAGATCCTTTGGTCTCCCGAGGTAAATTCTTCCAGAGCTTATATTTCAGTATTGTTAGAAACTGGTCAAAGATGGATCTGTTTCTCTTTTGAAATTTAGCTGATCATTTCTAGTCCTGTTGTGCTGTTGGCTTATCCACAAGTGATCCTCTGCAGTCCTCCAGCTTTTTCTGTAATACTTCTGCCCAGCTCCGTTTTGTACGTGTGTTTTCCAATTCTCCTGAGTGTTGTACTTCACTCTGGCCTTGGTTGAAATGCAACCTGAAGATTTTGGACAGCTTCAGTCTTTTATCAAAATTGCAGTCTAATCCAATACTCCAAGGTGGTTGAAATCTCTCCAGTTTAGCATCTTCCAGAAATCTTGTAAGTATGCTCTCTATTCCTCATCCAGATCATGAAAGAGTTTGATGGCATCAAGCTCCGGACGGAGCCATGTGGAATCATTTTTGCAATGCCTTCCCCTTTGACAGTGAGTTAGTCTTTCCAAACATGGGATTGCACTGGCTGCATTTGGGTCACGTTTGCCTGTTGTTTTGCTGAGAGCATCATGTGGGCTGACACAGAGCATCAGCTCCTCCACCCTCTGGGCTGGGGTGGGCTGGGCAGGGCTCTCTGATGGTGGCCAGGCATCCTGGGGCTGGCACGGCTTTCAGACTGGCCCTTTCAACACAGCTGGTCCAGGTGCTTGGCAGCATCACCAAGCAGGAACTGCTGTCCTTGCAGAAAATCCCACCTCCTCTTCTAAGTCGGCTTGGTGCTGATGGTGGTGTGAAAGGCTGCTAGAAATGTCTGTAGTGGGAACT